GTGATTTTAAAGTCTGTCATTCTGACACTCTCTTGGAGAACATACAGTGTCCTGGCTGTTGCCAGAAGTAATACAGAAAAGAAGCTTGGGTGATTGGGTTGAAAGACATGGTTTGGCACTGCCAGTAGGTGCCTAGAGGCTCTCTCTACTCCTCCTAGGAAGGTACAAGAATGTGTGGGACTTTTGTCTGATGCTGGCAGTGGTAGTGAGTGCTCAGAGCAGCTGCTGTTTACCATCTGGATAGTATCAGTTCTGTGCTGAAGCAGATGGAGTTGAAGTTTTGGCTCCGCATTTGCACCCAGCCTGGGGATGAGTGCAGTAGAAGAATACCAAAGATGTAAGCATTTCTCCTTGGTAGCAGAAAGGATCTTAGTTCTTTTTGTTTCGGTTCTTGCATGTGGGAAGGATATCATCATTCATGAAGCTACCAACATAAATGGGGCATAGTTTTTCTCCAATTCTGGTAGTGTGGAATTAAGGAAAGAGAATTAAGTCAAAGAGTAGCATATTTATGCTGTAGGCACTGCTGAAGTGGCCCTCGGGTAAGCCACCATAAGGTGTATACGTAACCTGTGGTGTCACTAGAGCAACTTGTGGAAAAACTAGAATGAATTACAGGTTTTTGCCAGTCACACAACCAGAGCATGTGTTGGAAAAATTAATATTCATCAATTGGCCTAGTTTTGCTAATCTAAACAACTCTAAATCTTACCTGGGTCTTCTTTGTGAAGCTAATGAAAACAGTAATCCCTCTTTCTAGAAAAATGCCCATAGTAAATATTGTAGTATATGATTTCTGTTGTGACAATTCACCTCTGCCATCATAGTGTGAAAGCATCCATAGACAATAAGATTGGGTGTGGTGGTGTTCTATTAAAACCCGAAATTCAAAAACAGGCAGCAGGCCATTATTTGACCTTCAGGCTGTAGTTTGCCAACCCTGGTTTAGAACCTTGATAGCTGTGCTGGATTGGAACGTTAACCAGCAAATACTCCTTCTCCTCTTCTTTGAATGGAGCGTACATCCCAGCTCTGCTGCCTTCGGGCATGGCCTTGAGATATACTTTGGCTGATAGAATATGAGCAGACGTGTATACAAAGATTTTAAATGTATTTACATGATCTAGTTTGTCTCATGTGCTCTTGCCACTTGCCATGAAAAGAACATGACCCAGATAGTTGTGGTCCAAGGAGGAAGACAGACAAAGATCAGAGTAGATGGAACACACAGTTTGAAGCCAAGTTCTGTCCCCAGAAGCCTCATTGCCCAGCTGAGACTCTACTAGATAAGCTGAACTTCAGGCAACTTATAGACCTGTGAGCTTGAGAATAATAGATTGTCTTAAGCCAATTTTAGGCAGTTGTTAAAACAGCATAATTATAAAAATAGCTGGCTAATATTATAGTACAGGAAGATATTCATCTAGGCAGGAAGACAGGAATCTCATTTTCAAAAACTGAAACAACAAAAGGGAATTCTCATCTCCTTATACAAATCCTAGAAAAAGATAAGGAGATGTTTGCCTTTTTTTTTAATAATTCTCCACCCCACTCCTCATCCCCCATATTTTTTCCCAATAGTTGGAAAAAATCTTGAATTTTAGATTTAGGTTCCTGTGCATACAGCTAATCAATGCCTAACACCCATGTTAGAGAGGCTTAGCTTTCCTCAAGCCAACCCCAGAGAGGCTCTCAGTACCAAGAACTGAATATTCAATAGTTCCAAAATTATAACTGGGCGAATATCCAAGCTCTTCCTTAGAAAAAACAGTTGTCGTCTCTTCCATTCAGAGAATTTTGAAAGCCAACTGTGCTAGATGGTAGAATTGACTTAGTCAACAGTTGTTTTGTTCCCGCCATGTGCAATATACTGTGGTAGTTCCTGGGGCACAGAGGTGTGCAAGTCAAACTCAAGGCCTTTACGGAGCACACTGACCAGCAGGAGAGAGAGGCGAGTAAATGGGTAATTAGGGCACATTGTGGTAAGCAATACCGGAAGTGGCATGTCTACAGTCCCAGGGGAACTTGAAGATGTGCTTGACCCTGCCTGGGGATTGGAATGTGGTGAGCATTTCAGTGACGTCTTCCTGGAGGAATCCACACTTGAATCTTGGGAGAACAAGGTTAGCATGAAGTCCTATGATTGTAGAGTTGGAAGGGGCTTTATGTCGTACCCTTCTCTTTTTTTATACATTAAATGGAAGCTCTCCCCTTTAAGATTTCCCTCTGTCCTAGGGAAGGATCAGTCTGATAAGAATCAATCTGCTCACGACAGTCTGTGCTTTGAGTAACTATTGTTGAAGGTATATAAATATCTATAAATTTTAGCTAGTTAGTTGTGCGCATGCATCTAAAAAATAATGTAATGATTCTCATTTCTCAAGGCAGGTGCATACCGTCGTATGGTGTCAGGTTTTAGTTTGAAATAGACTCGATTTCTAGGGTTTGTGTTTTGTTACCATTTTTTATTCATGAGGAGTGGGCTCAGGGAAGGAGGAATGAATGAGCCTGAGAAAATGATCTAATTACCTTGAAAGTTATTTTCTTCCTAAAAACAGTCCTGAGTTTCAGTTGTGAATTCGTTGGATTGTCTGTACAGTTTAGTAGACTTGAGAACTTAATTTTTAGATACAGTTGCTAATAGAATATTAGGTTGGTTTAAACACTATTTAGATTGCTTTTTCTTACTGTAGAATGTATTGTTACAGAAATAAGTCTGTATTTATCTGGGTTCAAATTTAGAGAGCATTTCTGGTGTCTTTTTGAACTCTGAAATGTGTGTTTCATCACAGAAAACACAGTTGCTTTCCTTTTTATTTATTGTTTCAGAATTAACTCCTAGAAACCTGGCATGTAAATTTAGTGTTTTGCAAACTTTGTTTTAAGAGCAACTATACTGGGGAATATGCCAATGGTAGTCCTTCCCCTAGGATGGTGATGATCTCATTGAGAAAGAAATTGTGTATAAATAATTTTGGTTTTTGGAATTTTTTATTTTATTTTACAAAGCACTGAAGTGGACTTCTTTGAGTTTTTCAGAACGTCCAAGATGATGTTATCTACTGTCACCTGGATGTGTTGAAAAAGTAGGGAAGAGCCTCATAAAGTCCTGGGACATCTGTCCAGGACTATAAAAATATTACGTTTGAATTTAGTCCTTCCTGTTGTAAATATACTTTGTACAAAATAGGGAATCTGAAAATATGGAAAAGGAAAAGGGGGGATATAATATTATCAGGGAGAGATAATCAGTATTAACATTTGATATGCATCATATGTACATTCTTTTAAAAATTTGGTTTTATTTTTACAAAATTGTGAACATACTCTGTATGTGTATGTGTGTTCCATTTAATATTCAGATTTTAGGCTAGTTACTATTGTAATATAAGCCTTTTTCTGACTTCTAAATACTGTATAAGTATTTTAATGACTACTGTGTCTGTACTATGATTTATCTATTTATCTATGATTATTACCTTTCTGTTAGATATTTAGATTATTTTCTAACCAGAACTATTATAGATATATAATATAAGGTCTGCTTAACAGAGACACATACACAGTTCATAAATATGTAAGTGTACATAAGTGTATAGCATTTTGAATACTCACAAATCAATATACCACTGAAACCACTACCTACATCCATGCTAGTACTACTCAAGCCAAGAAATGGAATTTGATCAAACTTGTGAGCTCTAGTCAACTTCTTGCTCAAGAGTAATCACAAACCTGACCTCTAATGACATAGATCAGTTTCTGTCCTGAAGGTCTACAGTTAATTTTCTCTAGGTTTGCTGAAGTAAGGTTACTAGCCCAAGAAGGATGAATATTTTAAAGCATCTTAGTTTATGTAACCAAATTGCTTTCAAAAATGTTAATTCATTTTATTACCACATCTATGAAAATGTGGGAAGGACTTTTGTTCCCGAATGTGGGAAGGGAGAGAAGTGAGGGTCATGTGTAAAGAGATAGTTCTGGATTGTGAATAGGACCAAGTGGGACTACAGTGCTTTAGGAAAATCTCAGCAGTCTGTTAACAAATTCTATTTTACTCACCTTGAAAATGCTTTTCTTTATCTGGACATCACCAGTCACTATGCTAGAAAGAAAGGAATCAATGCATTTTTCCTAGATCTGGACAAAAGTGGCACACAGACTTCTGCTTGCGATACATTGGCTAAAGAAAGGCTCATGAGGTTGATAGAGCCAGGGGTATAGAATCCTCCCGTGGGGAGAGATGCTATGGGAGGGAAACGGGAATATTTGGTAAACGACACCGTTCACCATACTGTTTCATGACTTTGCATCACCTGTGGGGTGATCAGACCACTTAGATTACCAATCTTTTACTTTTATTATAGAAGCACATCCTGATCTTGGGGAGACATGGCCCTGGATCTCTAGATAGAGCTGTAACTTGTGTAATTAGCACAGAGGTGTTTGCATAAATGCTGAACTTTGGTGGTGGTGTGGGGGGGTGTACTTCTTTTCCAAGAAGAGGCCAGGAAACATGCTTACTCATTCAGAGATGATGGGGAAATGCATTTCCTCTTCAGGAATATGTTTTTCCTGTCTAGTTTAGATATTCTGGTTACCTACTGTCTGGGGAGCTTTCAGAAAATGTTTTCCTGGTTCAGGAGAAATGACACAGAGTTGGAAAGGTTTTCTCCCTGGCACAGCAAAGGACAGGTCTGCTCTGGATTATCAGTTATACCTTTCTCATGTGGTTAGCATCCTGTCTTCTCTCTTTAATACTGTAAATTTGCATTCTTCTTTATTTCATTCATTTCTGTAACAGCTCTTTTGTAGTATTGATTGATAACATCTAGAATTGCTTCCCATTTCACCTTCTCTTTACTGTCTTCATCAAAACAAATGTCTTCAGTTAAGACACTGTTGCTCATTAAAGAAACAGTTGCACGGTGGTGGGTGGTGGGGCTGGCATGGTGGTGTTAGGTGAGCTCTGATTTAACACAAAGCTCTCCTTTCTGTAGGGATGGTGAAGTTGGAAAAAGGCTCCTTTAACCTTCCTTCAGGATGAACCCCCTGCAAGAAGACATGGAAAACGCTCTCACAGGGAGCCAGAGCTCTCACGCTTCTTTGCGCGACGTCCATTCCATCAACCCTACACACCTCATGGCCAGGATTGAATCCTACGAAGGAAGAGAGAAGAAAGGCATATCTGATGTCAGGAGGACTTTCTGTTTGTTTGTCACCTTTGACCTCTTATTTGTTACATTACTGTGGATAATAGAGTTAAATGTAAGTGTTTTTTTCCCATGACTTTATATAAGAGTTGTTTCCAGAGACAGGAAACAATTTTCTTATTTTTCTCATCATTTCTGTCTCATTTCGTGAATTCCATGCTCTTTTCCAGCTGATTTTGACTTTTCTTGTGCTGTATTGGCATGTTTTAAAGCAAAGCCAGAAAAAAAAAAAAAAAAGCAAAGCCAGGTCATTTAAAACTCACTTTGAAGTTTGAATTCATGGTGTTTTGCTCTATACCAGGAGTGAGCAAACTGCAGCCTGGGGGACAGATTCATCTGGCCTTTTTTATAAAGTTTTATTGGAACACAACGCTGCCTGTCCATTTACCTATTGTTCATGACTGGCTTTAGTGCTCAGTGCTTGACTTGGGTATTTATTTCCTGACCCTTTTCTTGTTCCAAAAAGGTAGCATGCCTCTGGAATAGGTTTTAGCTGTTAAACCTACTTTTGTAATCCCCAAGTTTGAGATTTTTCATGCATTCTTTACTGTTTCAGGAAGGGACTATTCATATTTTATGGAAAAAAATGTTGTAGAAACATTTGGAGGTTTATCTCTGTCTTGTCAAGTCTATGCAGTTATATTGTCATATAATTGTCTGGACTAATACTGTCCAATGGAAATATAATGCAAGCCTCACAGATGATTAAGTTCTCCAGTTGCTACATTAATAAAGGTAAAAATAAACAGATGAAAATACATTTAAATAATATATTTTATATAACCCAATAGATTTGTTTTCTCCCAAAGCCTTGGCTCTGTTTATATTCCTTACCAACAAATAGGAAACTTCCAGAATGCTTTCCTCACAGGCAAGAGTTGTTTAAAACCAATCAAGCCAGTGATAAGACATCGAAATTTAGAAACATCGTAATTCAGAATATTTTTTATTATTTGTCCCACATGTATACTTTAAAGAAAATATTTAAATTAATATGTATTTCAAAGGAATTAAAGTTTCCAAAACTAATGACTGTATATTAAGAAATGAAAAGAAATACATCTTTTAACAGGAAAGCATAGCAGTAGTTTTAAGGGAACTCACTTAAAAATTTTAATTTTAATTTAATTTAATTTTAATTTTAATGAAAGCACAAAATCAAAGCATTTATTGATTTACCAGTAATATCACTATCTGCTTTTAAGTGAGTGAAATTGTGGGGGCGGGGGATCACACTCTCTCATCCTTCCTTTCTTATTGCTTCAACAAAATTGAAATGGAAGTGAAGTGGACTGTGCACTGTTATCGTTCATCAGAGGGGATCGGTTTTTGCCTGTATGCAACATGTTATAAATAAAAAAAAAATCACTAGGCCTAGCAATTAAGAAAGGTATTTTTATTTAATTTTTTTATTGAAGTATAATGAACATATACAGTGGTATATTAGTTTCAGAACATAATGATTCAACATTCCTGTATATTACTCAGTCCTCACAATAAGCATAGTCGCCATCTGTCACCAGACAACAATATTGCTGTCTCACTGACTATATTTCTCAGGCTGTACTTTTCATCTCTGTGACTTATCTGTTTTGTAACTGGAAGCTTATGCCTCTTAATCCCCTCTATTTCATGCATCACCCCACACCCACTTCCACTCTGGCAACCATCAGTTCTCTGTATTTAAGAGTCCGTTTTGTTTGTCTCTTTTTTTTCATTTGTTCATTTATTTTGTTTCTTAAGTTCCACATGTGAGTGAGAAATCATATGGTATTTGTTGTTCTCTGACTTATTCCACTTAGCATAACACCCTCTAGGTCCATCCACATTGTTGCAAATGGCAGGATCACATTGTTTTTCATGGCTAATATTCCAGCCTGTGTGTGTGTGTGTGTGTGTGTGTGTGTGTGTGTGTGTATACACCACATCTTCATTCATCTGTTGATGGACACTTGGGTTGCTTCCATTTCTTGGCTATTGTACAATGCCGCAGTAAACATAGGGGTGCATATATCTTCAAATTTAAAAGATATGTCTTTTAAGACTCAACTTTTCCACTGACTACTAGTTACTCCTGTTGGAAAATTAAAAGATCATATAAGAATATAGTAAAATAACACATCTTGACCTTTTAAGCAAAGATTTATTTATTATTTATTTATTTATTTATTTATTTATTTATTATTATTAATAAATGATTTGTTAACATTTAGTTTCTAATTCGATTTGTTTTATATTGTCAGTCCTGACCTGGGTTTTTCATCCCTTTAATTTGTGGTCTATGTCTAAATCTCTAATCACTCACATCCATTGTTCTTTTTACATGTCTCTATGTTTCCTGAGTGCTAGGGCATAGGGCATGGTGAACTCCACAAAAAAAATTATATAAGATTTGAAGTTTGGCTGAGGAGATAAGACACGTATCTTATACTGCCTTGTAGTGTTGGTCTTGAAAAGAGGAAAGAAATAGTACAAAGGATGTTAGGCTTTTGGCAGAGTAATGGGACCCAGCTGTCCTATGCAATCATAACAGTAACCAAAATACTTTGCCCTCATCTATGACTTTCAAAGTAGCCAGTTTTCCTCCTTGCTTCAAGGAAGCAGGATTCTCAGGCCAAAAATGAAGACTCATCGTTTATTAAGTTGCTTGTTTGTTTTGTATTTCTCACGCTCCACATCCAGGGGAAAAGTAAGCCCTGTCAAATCTGCTTGTAGAATATATTCAAAATGTGACCTCTTCTTTCCGTTCCTATAGTTGGTCCCCTCAACCATGCCGGTGCTAGCACTCATCCAAACTACTATACCAGAGGCCCAGCCAATTTCCCTATTTCCACTCTTGTCCTCCTAATGCCCATTCTCCTCATAGAAGCCAGAGGGACTTTTAAAAGTAAAAACACAAATCAGATAATGTTACTTTCTATTTATAACCCTTCGCTGACCTACCAGAGCACTTTGAATAAAATACAAATGCTAGAACATGGCTTGCACAGCCCCAAGGAGCTTCCAGACTTCCTTCTCCACTCTCTGTTCTGGTCCACCCAGAGCAGCCCAGACGTGCCTCCTGGTCTCACAATGTAACAAACTCTCTTCTGTTTGGGGCCTTTATACTAGTTGTTCCTTCTAAATGAAATGGTTAATTGCCTTTATCTTGATGGAGATTCTGACTGCTTATCATGCTGGTAATCTGTCAGTTTAAATATCACCACAGAGAAGCCTTCCATTTACCACTGGACCAAAAGAAGTCAACCATTACTGTGTCGCCCTGCTCTGCTTTGTTCTCTGCATGGCACTTATTTTCTTGTTTGTCATCTCTCACTGCTTGGTAGAATGTAAGTTCCAATAAAGACAGAGATACTATATTGTTTACTAATGTATTCATTGTATTTAGAGCCATACTTGACGCTTAATACGTTTTCAGCAAATATTTGGTGAATGGATAAAGATCTTGTGGCAGTGGTTTGCCAGTTGGATTACCTTACAGACAGATCGTTTCTAAAGCTGTTAAAGGAATCCCATGTACGGTGGTGGGACTAGAAAGGAAAAAGCTAACCTTAGAGAAATACTAAAAAAATAAGTATGCTGATAGAGTTACCGATAGGCTGGTTTTGTCATCCCCGGTGTCCAAAAACGACTCTGAAGATTTCTTGTGTTGGAATGTAGAAGAACAGGATGAGCTCTGTCAGAACTGTGAGGAGAGGTTCCATGTGAAACTAAAGACGAGTCTATAGTGGACACCTTGAGCTAGAGACAAAGATTTTGAAATAAGATTTAGAGTGCAGGTTGGAGCTACAGATGTAGATTTAGATTTCTCTATTTAAAGGCAAGACAAAATCCGTCTTTTTTTTTTAAAAAAAAACTTTTTTTAAAAAAAGATGTATTTATTTTAGAGAGAGGGAGAACATGAGCAGGGGGAGAATCAGAAGGAAGAAGGAGAATCCCCAGCAGACTCCATGCTGAGTGCGGAGCCTGACATGGGCCTCGATCTCACAACCCCAAGATCATGATCTCAGCTGAAACCAAGGGTCAGCTGCTTAGCCAACTGAGCCACCCAGGCACCCTCCAAATCAGGGTCTTTTAAAGTGTGCAGATACTGTAGAAAACCTTTTTTCTACTGACTGTTGATTGAAGAACTGCATGAGCAGGTTGTTGGCTGTTCTCAGGAGGATAGAGATTAAGAACGCATCTTTACTGTAGGTCAGTTGGAATAATCATTCTTCTAATATTTGAGATAGTGCTAAGTAGTTTGGAGACACACAGTGATAACACTGCATGATTGTTTGGCTTTTAATAATTATTTTTCTTTGCTCCCAAGTTTTCCATTCTATTTGCTATATAGATCTATATTCAAGCAGGTCAGTAGCTAGTCTGCACAAATTACACAGAAACCGAAACCTCCTTAAGGGATTTTTAAGTACCAAATGTTTTTTATGGTATATTTGCATTTAAACAACAAATACAAATACTTGTAAAAGTTTCCAAGCCAAGAGGATCCATTCCTTGTGGCAACTTTAATTCCAGTTTGACCAATTAGCAAGCCTTACAAAGGCATTCCTAATCGATTTTCTCCTCATTTATCCAGGTCTTTGGTCCATCACCCTTCACTCTGTCCTTTTTCAGATCATCTCCATCAGTTTGCCAGGATAAACAATGTCTGTACTCCAGATTGGAAATGCCAATTCACTGTTGCATGTCATATTCCCTAATCCACTGGCCCTAATGATTCTAGTGTCTGCTTGGCTGCTGCATTAACTGTCAGACACACGTTCCATTACTTGATTTTTTAAAAAAAGATTTTATGTATTTATCCATGAGAGACGCAAAGAGAGGCACAGAGACATGGGCAGAGGGAGAAGCAGACTTCATGTGGGGAGCCCAATGTGGGACTCGATCCCAGGACCCCGGGATCATGACCTGAGCCAAAGGCAGACACTCAACCACTGAGCCACACAAATGCCCTATTATTTTTTTTTTAAATATTTTCTATAAGTGTAATATGTAGAGTTCTGAACTTGATCATTTAAAAGTCATCTTGGAGAGAATTGGCAGAGGAAAGTTTGTAATCTTAGGTCTGATTTTCATCATTTATTGTAACTTCAGCACATATGATTGTAGGTCTGGTTTGTCCCTCATTTCATTACCAAGTTAAAAATATATGTTGATAAAAGTGCAGGGTTTTCATATGCCAGGAGCAAATAAAAAAGAAAAACCAGAGAGAATATCTACACTTCTATCCCATGTTATTGATCTTTGCTAAGATTAGAGGACCCGTTGGCCTTCCAAGAGCTAAAACAATGGAAAGTGGTCAGAGAGTGAGGGCAGCCCTGGACGAATGAATTGTCTCCCTTAAAATTATACATTTGTATAATTGAAGATTTTATTTAGAAGAAAAAAGAGGCGGTTTTTAAAAACATTTTAGTTTGCTAAACTAGGAACTACAAACAAGGCATTGTTTTTCATCATACATTTATATTTGTTGAATAAATGAATTCAGAATTGAAGTGGGAAATGCTATTCAATATTTTTTCTATTAGAGTTAATGAGTATTTTGTTCTTCCTATTTTAACATTTCAGGGTTCTAAGAAGGTAGGCAGAAAACTGCATACAAAACCTTACATGTATGTTTTCTTGTATTATTTTCACACGTAAATGTCTCATTTTTACTTCTCACTCTCTTTCCTAGGTGAATGGAGGCATTGAGAACACATTAGAGAAGGAGGTGGTGCAGTATGACTACTACTCCTCTTATTTTGATATATTCGTAAGTATTTCCTGTTTTACATTTCACTTCAGATATGATGAATCTAACCACAAGTGAATTTCTTCTGAGTCGATCACACACTCTATGCCATTCTCTTTCCCTCTCTTGAACCCTGGCTTTCCTTCCCTCTCAGTTTCTGGACCAGTCAGTGCACTCTCACTCTCTTTGTAATGAATCGTCTTGTCACAGGAAGGAAAGAAAATGATTAATGAAAGATAAGGAAGGGCAACAGAAGGAGCCTTTTTTTTTTTTAATACATATATTTTTTATTGAAGTTCGACTTACCAACATATAGTATGACACCCAGTGCTCATCCCGTCAGATGCCCCCCTCAGTGCCCGTCACCCAGGCACCCCATACCCTCACCCACCTCCCCTTCCACTACTCCTTGTTCATTTCTCAGAGTTAGGAGTCTTTCATGTTTTGTCACCCTCTAATTTTTCCCACTCATTTTCCCTCCTTTCCCCTATAATCCCTTTCACTATTTTTTATATTCCCCGTATGAGTGAAACCATATAATGATTGTCAGAAGGAGCCTTTATTCTTTTCATAGAAGCCAGTGACCCACCCTAATCACTAACAGGAAAATTGACCTGTTTATATAACAGCACGATGAAAATGCCATTCCTTTCCTGCCTTGAGATAGATTTCTGAGTGTACTTCTATTAATAATACAACATTTCATTTTTCTATAATTGGAGTTTTCAAGGAAAGTTATCTGTTGATAATTCTGGGCAACCTTAGTTAGTTGTAGAACTACAAAGATGTGATTCTCTATAGACAAGGCCTTCATTTCAGTCAAAAGAATGCTTACAATCTTTCCAGGGCACACTGTGACTCGCACTGGGTTTGGTATGTCTCCCCAGTATCTTTTTATAGTTGATAGTGTAAGTAAATCAGATTGTAACATCATGTTAGATGTAGTGTGGGCAATTCATATTCACAGTGAATTCCTCCAAATTCATTTTATCTACTTTGTTCACTACCTTCAGAAGCTTTATGCACAGTTGTTAAGAGCACGACAGAAAAACCTGGGTTTGATTCACACCACTATCACTATTTGTACATCTTTTAATGTATTGGGTCTAAACTTCAGTGTTTTCATATGTAAAATAAGATTACCCTACTTCTGAAAAGTAAATGAAATAATGCATGGAAAACATTTAGGCCAATGATTGATACATCCTGGAAGCATGCTGTCACTATCATCAAAATCATCATTTTTGGTTGAGAATTTTAGTAATTGAGTAATTATATTTTCTAGTGGTTTTCAAACTACACTAGAAGGCTTTTTTGTTGTTGTTGTTTTATTTCTGAAGGGGCCTGCAGAAGTGTGTATGGGGAAGGAGCTGCGACTCCCAGTAAGCAGAGGTTAGGGTTCCCTGTCATTGACATCTTGCAACCCAAGTAGTTCCATTTTTCTCTGTATGATATGTTTGACTTCCAATAAGACTGTCTTGAAAAGTGTTAGGTTGCTACAGAATATTTGGAAAATCACTAATATAATTTTAATTCCCTCATTTTTCCAAGTGAGGAAATTGAGTTTCTTTGGTTTGGTGTCTTGACCCATCCCAGGTCATTAAAGTTCGAGGCAGAGAGTGATAGATCCCATATTTCTTGACATTTCTTTCTTCAAAAACAATTGACCTATAATAGCAAGATTGATTTCCCTTTTTCCTCTTCTTCCCTTGCCGAATTTATCTTAAACTAGCCTCAGCCAGGAAACCAGGCTAATCTATCAGCCAGATCTCTGAGAGTTGTCTGTCCTTTATGCTTAGGAAGTCAGTGGTCCTGGACAAGCAGTCAGGGCCCATTAGCTTAGACTAAAAGGACTGACATGTCTGGCCTGGAAATGGACACAGCCTCCAGGAAACCTTCGGACCAGGGAGACTTTGAGATAGAAGGCTGAAGAAGACTTATCCTTTTGCCAAACCCAGATTGCAGGGCTAGAATTAGAATGAATAGAGAAGCTAAACAGTTTGCAGATTGTTGGAAAACACATTTTTAATGAAAACAGCAAATTAAAACAAAACATAACCTGTGACCTTCATTTACGTAAAAGGATCTTAAGTGTGGTCCTCTGGTCAGTGGCTGCAAAAAGGCTGTCAGCCTCCAGCCTTTCAGCAGTTTTGATTAGTGAGAAACTTTTGGCAGACTCCTGCCCTCAGGCACTGCTCAAGAGTCACCTGACTTTTCTCTATCCACAATAGGCATGTCTTCCAAGGAAAATTGGTAAAATCTTACTCTATATGTATTCCTTACTAAATGAGAATTACAAAGACAGCTGTGACATAGTGGTTCAGTAGAGCCCGACCACCTGGGTTCAAGTCCTGGCTTCCTCCCCAAGGGGTTGTGTGACCTTGTATAATTTTTATATCTACTTTATGTGTATAGTGGGATTAATGACAGTAATTGATACATGGGATTGTTGACAAAGGGATTACATGGGATAATAATACACATGAAGGATATCACAAATGTCACAGAGCTACCCTAAATAATCGGGTGGTAGCTACTTGGATAGAACTCTCCCAGTACCCTCTGTAACCCAGAGCTTTACTGTGGACTTTACTAAGAACCTGTCTCTTTCAAAAGTGAGTGTCTGTACCAGGAGTGGGAAAGTCAACTCTGAGAACATTCTCTCCAGTCTTAACAGCGTATCAGAAATATATGTGTACTCAAATAGAAAGGAAAAATAAAATGGTGTTTTATTTTTATAAAAATAAAAATGGTGTTGATAATGTGAAGTGAATTTGAATCCTTATTTGGGCAGTATTACATAAATTCTAAAGCAGAGATCCCAAATATGGGTCTATAGCCCAGTGCCAGTCATCAGTTAAGTCAGAATAATAAAGATGCTTTGGTGAGTTCTTCATAAAACTCCATTATTTTATATTTGTATCTGTTTTTTAAAACTTACTTTGTCTTTTTCTTAATACAGCTCTTGGCAGTTTTTCGATTTAAAGTGTTAATACTTGCATATGCTGTATGCAGACTGCGCCATTGGTGGGCAATAGCGGTGAGTATGTCTGTGCGAGTTGTTCATCTTCTCCAGTGCTGGTGGCCCAGGCCCGCTCACAGCAGCAACAGGCTGGGAGAAAATGTGCTTTTCATCTGGGTTGCATTCTGCTAGCTTCAGTAGGTTCAACACTCCAGGGCTTCTTTCCAATGGCAATGAGTAACTAGCTTTGTCTCAACGGATACTGAGCCAAATGAGGAATATAGAGACCCAACAATGGTTCTTGGCCAAACACCAACGCACCCTCTACCCTCATTTTGCAAATGAATGATGAGATCAGTACCTCTGTCATAAAGATACTTGTGAAAATTTCCCCTTTGGTTGAAACTGCTTGATAATTCTTCATGACTTGTTCTCTCCTTATTTTGATCATTGCCTTTCTTGCTATTTTATTCCCCTCCCTCCAATATCAAAGGGAAAAGTTCCTGTGGTCCTTTTATATTGTTACCTTCAGGCTTCTTGAAGTCAGTGGTGGGTTTTTTTTTTTTTTTTTTTTGTTGTTTTTTTTTTGGCAGTGGTGTTTTTAAACATGTATTTACTTTAGAGAGCTAGAGCACATAGCGGGAGCAGGAGAGGGAGAGAGAACTTCAGGTGCACTCCCTGCAGAGCTTGGAACGGAAGTGGGGCTCAGTGTCTCAACCTTGAGATCCTGATCTGAGCCAAAACCAAAAGTCAGACACTTAACTTGAAGGAGCCCTGAAGGCAGTGGTATTTTTCCTCGTCTCTGTTTCTTTGCATCCGGCACAGAGCCTTGGCACTTGCTCTTCGCCATCAGTAAATATTTACTGATTAAAAGAAGAATTATAAGCCGTTCTGCCTCAGTTATTTTTGCCACTTCCACAGATGTCTGAACACTGACCTTTTGAAGAGCTCTAATAAGGCAGGTGTATGGGGATAACATTGAGCTCCCCAAGCTGGAGGGAGCAGCTCCAAAATACTTGCAGTTCTGCTTCTGGAGTGAGACCTCGGTGTGTGTGTGTGTGGGCCGGCAAAGCTTGCCCAGCTGGGGATGGACCCTCTTCTAAGACGTGGTCCTCCAGGAGCCAGCTCTTCCGAGCATCCACAGAATCACAGGTGGGACATCAGACCCTCAGCTGAGTCCCAAGCTAATGTGTCTCAGATGTAGGCTGACAGCATTAGCCAGGTTTGACTCCCTGTCCTGAATATATTTTTACTGATAACAAATAGCTGTGATTGTGTCTTTCTGATTTTCTTCAGCCATCCCATTTGAGACATTCTACTCCAAAGTTTCTTTAACGTACACTAGTGTTTGTCAGATTATCTGCCTCAATATTTGTTTCAGAGGCGTGAGTGATACTCAGTGAGTTTTTATTATTTATTTATTTAAAGATTTTATTTATTTATTCGTGAGAGACCCAGAGAGGCAGAGACACAGGCAGAGAGAGAAGCAGGCTCCCTGCGGGGAGCCCAATGCGGGACTTGATCCTTGGACTCCAGGATCATGCCCCAGGCCGAAGGCAAGTGCTCAGTCACTGAGCCACCCAGGGATCCCCGAGTTTTTAGAAAGTATCCAATATCTACTCCAAATTATGAAACGATAGGTCATACTTAGCACATCCATTTGATTATTTTTTATTTTTCCATTTAAAAACATTTGCTGAGAGGGTCAGCCAGCTGGAAGGAGGACTCAACTGGTACCTAATAAGGTACTAAGTGTCAGCCTATAAAATTAATTTGTGTCAGAATGTAAAATGCCTCCTCTCTTCCAGACATAGCTCACTCTGGCAGGTGTGTGTGTGTGGGGAGATATATATATTTATAAATATATAATATTTAATTATATATCATTCATAAACAATAATTTAATTTAATCATAATATAATTATACATGATTAAATTATATTAAATTAATTAAATTTATAGTTATATTAAATTAATAATTTAATTATATATTTAATTTATAAATATATAAATATAAAAATGTTTGCGTGTAGGGGGGTGATTCGCTAACAAATACTCTGCAACTGTGTTTATACTCACAGAGCTTGACACCCCATGTCCCCTGATCCCTGTTCTGTCAGGCTCCTGCTGGCATCACCCTGCTCAGGGGTCATGGTGCTAGGAATCCTAGTTGGGGGGTTGGAGGGACTAGGCCCAGGTCCTGTGGGATGATCTCTGGGCTCCCCAACCACTAGGGGGAGCCCCGGCTCTGCGTTTCAGGGGTCCCTTGTGTGGGGACACTGCCTTTGCAGGCTGGACCTTGTTGGGGACAAAACTCGGTTTCCCCACACAGTGGCCTGCTAGACCCTGGGAGGAGGGAGAGCACCAGCAGCCAGTGGGGTCAGGAGCCACGGAGAAGCCCATGTTGGCCCAGTGTCGGTTCAGGGGCTGGGGACAGAGTGGTGTGGGCAGAGCTTTTCCGGGCATTGGGAGCTTCTGGCTCAGACAGGGATCTTTGGGAGCAGGTTCCTCCCAATGTAAAATGTCTAATGCAAATGATGTTGGATGATGTGTCTTTCAGTTGACGACAGCAGTGACCAGTGCCTTTTTACTCGCAAAAGTGATCCTCTCAAAGGTACAGCCTCCCATGTTCTCTTACCATTACCATCTATAATGGCGAAGCCTTTTTTTCCATTGTGAGCTCCTGGTAATTGCATTTCCCTCTCCTGCTCACATCTGTCCTTCCAGCTTTTCTCTCAAGGGGCTTTTGGCTACGTGCTGCCCATCATTTCCTTCCTCCTGGCCTGGATTGAGACCTGGTTCCTGGATTTCAAAGTCTTACCTCAAGAGGCAGAAGAGGAAAACAGTGAGTGTCTCCCCAGATTAGCTTCCTGAGACCAGCTAGGTACCAAGCTAGAAGGGAGACCCTGGAAGTCCTGATTTGAACAGAGCTTACCTTTTTGCTAAGCCTTCCTTTCATATAATGAAAACAGCATTTTATTGTGATTAACCTTGCCCAGAAGCTACCAGAAGTATGACATCATTCCCAGCATCTGAATTTCTTCTCTTCCAGGACTCCTGATAGTTCAGGATGCTTCAGAGAGGGCAGCACTTATACCTGGTGGTCTTTCTGATGGTCAGTTTTATTCTCCTCCTGAATCTGAAGCAGGTAAAAAAAGTTGTGATTCTCTTTTGTGTTTACATTCATCACTCAAAAGCCCAGTCCTCCCTCTGCTCTCAGAACACTGAGCAGACATGGAGCACAGCAGGCATGGAGACAGGAAAGTAACTGAGACCTGGCCTTGCTGTGGGACCTGTGGTGAGACCCAGAGTGTAAAATAAATGTCTCCGAGGGCCACAGACCCTGTGACGTGCCCTCTGCATCTCAGAAGACAGGCAGACCAGGGGAAGGGGCTGGATGTTCTCTGATTACCTGTCATGCCCTCACCTGACCATCCTCCAGGACCCCCCCTGTGTGAAGATGGAGCTCTGTCTACCTGGTTGCTGGTGATGGAGACCAGAGCCTCCTTGGGGACCTGCCCTTTCTTAGAGGCTCCCATCCCATCACTCACTAGGCCATGTCTGGATTTCTGCCTCTTGTGTCTCATCATTGTCCCACCTCCTGTTTCTCCACCTTGCATTCAGCATCTCCTGCTTCGGTTCCAGCCTCCTGCCTCCTGCCACAGTCACCCTGTCCCAACCCCATGTGAAGTAGAACACTAGACTTGTTCCATGGGTTCCTCAAGCCAGTCTAGGACGTGAAAGTCTCATTAACCCTGTTTTAGAGATGATTATATATAGGCACAGAGAGGGAAGTCATTTGTGCAAAGTCATACAAAGAGTAAGAGATGGAGCTGGGATTTGAACCCGGCTCAGGGCTGGAGTCCATGCTCACAGCTAATCCATGTGTGGCCTTTCAGTATTAATGGAAACACAGTGTTGATCACATCTTCTCCTGCACAACAGCCTTCAGTAGGGGAAAGGATTAAGTAAGTCATGGTCCTCATTCTGGTAGAAAGCACCATTTGACCTCCCACAGGCAGTTATCCAAACTCCCAGTCCTGTCTCCTTGTGTCTCTTAGTTTTCTGAAAACACTATGTACCAAAACCCCCAGGCCATTGCTCAGCTTGCTTTTTCTATCCTTCCTACTGTTCCTCTACAGCCCTACTCTCCGCTCACAGGAGAGAAAGCTTCTCCCACCCCACCCTCACCCCCGGGCTGCTGGGAGGGTGTTCTCTGCATTTCCGTAGGAACCTCTCCTACAGCCCTGTCATCTGTGCTGGCTCCCTGCCCTCAGCGCTGACCTCGCTGTTCCTACCGTGGGGATGGGGACCTGAGTTAGAGACTGCATTATTGTATTCCCAGCATTGAGCTCAGTGGGTAATTGAACTCTCTCTCTCTCTCTCTCTCTCTCTCACACACACACACACACACACACACACACTGTACAGCAGTTTCCAGGCAGAAAGACTCATGTGAGTGATCAGAGACACAGCAATGGGACACAGCGAATCAGGGGAACTCCAAGTAACATGGTATTCTGGATTCTTGGTGTTGCTTCTAAAAGGTTAAAATATGAAAGCATAGGATCAGATGAAATACAGATATGAATTAGCAGAAAATGTGTTTCTCAGCCAACAGAAACTCAAGTAAGTACTAACCTTTTGTATACCTCATGAGAGTTATTTCCTTGAGTTTTTTTGTTATAGGACTCATTCTTTTGGAAAGAGGAAGTTCGCATTCTTGTTCATGCTTTTGTATAACTTTTATTTTCCTAAGAGTAATAAAAGTTCTCAGTAGTGTTGTGTTTACTTAGTTAGAAGTTCAGAGCGGCAGGATAACAACAGGAGGAATCCCACCTTAGACATTCTTCATCAAGCTCCCAGGTCTGAATCCGCTGGCTTCCTGCCTCTGACTTGTACCCCCACCTAGTGGTGGTTGGGAGCATTTCCATTTCCTTGGGTTCCGGAGCTGATCTGGAACAAACCTGGTCAGGGTGCTCTGCTGGGAAGCTGCTTTGTTCAAGACAAAATGCAAGTGTGTAGTAGGAGAGAAGGAGTGTTCAAAGTGACTTACTTTATTGTATTATATTTTCATTGGCTGAACCTTCAAGTTAGGAAAGAATTATAATTAAAAACTGTTACTGGAATTAAAAACTGTGCCTAGAAAAGAAGATTCAACTCTAAAGCACTGTTGGCTCGTGAGGCCGGTGGTTGAAAATTAAGCAGAACAGGTGTCTGTGCTTCTGCTGCCCTGGGACTGATGCGGCGCTGGTTGGGCCCTGGTGGAGAAGAGGGCATCTGGGGGCTGCTTGCCTTCTCCTGACTTTCTCCTGCACCTCGTGTGGTGCCGGCACAGAATACATTTATAGCTGTGGAAGGAATGGATGAAAGGAGGAGAAATAAATCAGAGTCACCAAAAATTAAAATGTTAGCATTTTTCCTTGTGAAGCATTGGCCTGAATTTTAGTATCACAGAGATTCTGAAAGTTAGCCCCTTTTGATAGATTACTTTTAAAGGCTATTAAGGTGGTGTGTTTGCAGGTTTACATGTTGGTCTAACCATATCGTGCTTACCTGTGTATTCAGTAGAAGGAATGAGGAAGCACAGCCCTTTGTCAGGTGACTGGGATGAAGTTTTTTGTGTAGTCAGACAGCTGAAGTGAACCCATTGTGATATTGAGGAAAAGTTAGTCACCTCATCATCAAAAGACTTCATTTGAAGAGTAGTTCAGTTGCATAATATACTCTGTGCTAAGCAAATCTAGGGAAAGACACTGTAATTCTGCTTTGATACTTTCTAATAGTAACCAGCCACACATGCTTGTTTGCCCTGGACAGTATTAGCTTACTCCTGTGGGTCCATGTAATTACTATTATACTCCTTTGATCTCTAGGAAATGTTCTTGTTTAGATGATCAATTCTGTAGTCACCTTACAGATAATCAATAAATTTGACACACAGTTTTTCTACTTTTTATTAAAAATTTTGAAGTGTATTAAAACATCACCACTGAGGATACTACCTAACCTTGATTTAAAAAAAAGAATAGCTTTAATGAGTTATACTTTGCATACCATAAAGTTGATCCATTGTAAATATGCAATTGTATGGTTTCTAGTAAATTTGAACTTTTTAAACCAACATCATAGTATAATTATAGGGCACTTTTATCATCCAAAAATATTTTTTTTATCAAATCATCACTCCTATTTCGTAGATAAAATGCTGATCTACTTTCTCTCCTGAAAATATGCCCCTTTTTGATAATTAACATAAATATCACAGAATATGTAATTTTTTGCATGCGGCTTCTTTCTCTTACTATAATATTCTTGACAAGCCACTCATGATGTAGCATGTGTAAGTAGTTTCCTCTTTTATGTGAGTCAATAATATTCCTTTTTATGAATATACATACAGTGTTTTCTTTACTCATCAGTGGTTAGCCATTGGAATGGTTGGCACTTTTTGCTATTATGACTAATCCTGCTATGAACTTTTATGTGCGTGTCCTTGTGGAGACATTTGTTTTTATTTTTCTTAAATTCCTAGGAGAGGACTCTCTGTGTATGATGGCGAGTTTCTGTTTAACTTTTCAAGTCATTGCCAAAGTCTTCTCCAAAGTTACTGTACCATTTTTCATTCTCTCCAGTAGTATCTAAGGATTGATTTGTTTTTCCACGTACTCACCAGTGCCTGGCGGAGGCTGTCTTTTTCATTCTAGTTATTCTAGAAGGTGTGAAGTACTTTCTCCTTGTGCTTTTCATTTGCCGCTGAGGACTGATGACCTTGAGAACCTTTTCATGTGCTTGTGAGAGTTATTCATTTATTTCCTTTGGAGAAATGTCTGTTTTTACCACCCCCCCCCTTTTTTTTAAAGTTATGTTGTTTGTCTTCTTCTTGAGTTGTAAAAGTTCTTTATACATTCTAAGTAAGAGTCTTTTATCAGATAAAAGTCCTTTATATGATTCACAAGTATTTCTTCCCAGGCTGTAGACTTTTCAGTTTCTTCATGGAGCCTTTTTGAAGCACACATTTTGAATTTGGGTGAAGTCCAGTTTATCAGAATGTATTCTTTTATGGATAATGTATTTGGGGCCATATCTAAGAATATCTTGCCTTAATCCTGTATTGCAAAGATTCTCTGTTATATTTTCTTCTAGAATTTTTATAGTGTTGGCTCTTCCATTAAGTTTATCGACCATGGTGAATTAGTTTTCATGTATGGAGGAGGTAGGGAATTAAGTTCATTCTTCTGCCTTTGGATATCTAGTTTGTTGGAGTACCATTTGTTGAACAGACTATCCCTTCCTGCACTGAATTAATGTGGCACATTTGTCAAAAACTATTTGACCATAAATGTAAGTGTTTATTTCTGGGCTCTCAGGTCTCTCTCAGTGACCTGTGTGCTCTCTTTGCACTCATAGCACACTGGCTTGTTACTGTAACTTAATCTTTCTGTAAGCCTTGAAATCAAGTCCTGCAAGGCCTTACTTGAAAGGCCCACCCTGCTGTCCTCAGAACTCCATGTGTCAGTAATAAACCTTTCGACACCCTCCGTGTGTGTGTGGCATCATCAGTTTCCTCATCCACATCAAATTTTGAGTGTGCCCTCCTACACTGCTTTTGCAGGGTGACCATATCATCCCTTCAACCTTGTTCTTTTTGAAAATATTTTGTCTATTCATGTCAATTTTTGATCTTCATGTCAATTTTGAGATGGGCTCGTTAATTTTTGTGAATAAAGACTGCTACATTGGATTTATAGCTGAATTAGGGAAGAATTGCCATCACAACAATTTTGAATCTTCTAATCCATGAATGTGGACCCTCTCTGCATTTATTTATTCTTTAATTTTTTTTGCATTATTTGTTTTCTTCTTTTTATAAATTTATTTTTTATTGGTGTTCAATTTGCCAACATATAGAATAACACCTAGTGTTCATCCCATCAAGTGCCCCCCTCAGTGCCCGTCACCCAGTCACCCCCACCCCCCCGCCCACCTCCCTTTCTACCACCCCTAGTTCATTTCCCAGAGTTAGGGGTCTCTTGTGTTCTGTCTCTCTGATATTTCCCACTCATTTTTGCATTGTTTTGTAATTTTCAAAGTTTTGCTCTTCTTTTATTGAATTAACTCCTAAGTGTTTTATCCTTTTTAGTTCTA